AAAGTTGCTATGATTCATATAACGTCATAATGCTTGCTATAAGATATCCCAATTTAGTCTATTAATATTGTAAACCATTGCCGCCTAACTAAACATATTGAGATTCGAGCAGCAAGAAGACTAGCCAAAATATGAGCAGGACGAAAGTGAAGATAAGTTAGGGAAAAAACTTTGCAAGAAAATGGAGAAGGAATAAAGACGTGTGGTGTTGACTAGCCGGGGGAAAATCGTCGCTGCCGACACAATTTTGATAAGAACGACGAATATACCCAGTAAGATCACTTGGTTTATACCCAGATCCTGGACATTGCCCACCATAATTTGTTTTGGTTTTTTACCAGAATTTTTGTTCAAATAAAATTTATTTATTTTCCATGCCTCACATGCTGCTGACATTTTTGGGTTATTGGGGGAGGTATTACTTGATGCAGTTCTATTCCCAAGCTCGAAATGAGAGTACCAGAGGTACTCGGCGACGACGCAAATGCAAATTTGTCGTACTTGAGTGATAAATCTCCACTCATCGCTATTGGTTTTGTAACTAATTCGCGCTTTAAAGACTATGAGGATATACTAATACTAATACAACAAAAGCGTGGTGTAATTTAGTCGACATCATTGATTCTGTGAACCAATCACGTCTTTAAGACTATGAGAACATACGAAAAATGAATATTTTCAGAATCGCAAATGGGTAGAGCCCAAGCTTAAATGACGAATTTATTATTATTGTTGTTGTTTTGAACGATTTAAGCGCATTTAGGCATCAAATAGATATATAAAAATAAACATCTAGAAGAGTTTTAATTGACAATGGAGCGCTTAAACTGCTTTAGGCTTTCGTGGATAACTACTCTGAATCAATTTAGTTAACATATTAATATATTAGTTAGTGAAGCGATAAGTACATCATCTTCGGCTCATCGTTCTTGAATCTAAACAATACTTTAACTTGTACTATTAGTTTAGCCTTCATATAATAAAATATACTTATTGGAACTTTAAAATACCTGGCCATTCCAGTGATTCTGAGCCGTAAACGAAATCACCGAGTAGATTCGATCTTGTCTATCGAATCTTGAATACGATTGTTAATTATTACTAATAAACGCGTTTTAGTTTGGAATGTAATCATCTACAGATTATCGAAATTAATCCCGTCAATAGAGGGTAGAGTTATAGCTGCAGTGTAGTTAACAATCGAGAATTTGCTCGAACGTACGAATCCTTCGTATATAAACCCAATTTAATATCAAGGTCACTAACTGTATTAGTAATTAAACACCTCGATTGAAAGAGCTAAATCCCAAGGCCAATTACTGAACCTCTCCCGCGGTAGTTGGTTCGACAAGAGAAAGGCTTTAAATGATGACAAAAGTAAATACCTAACGGCCTACGATTGAATTGCAAAATGATTTCCCTGGTGTAAAAAAGTTCTCCCTGCTGCTTGTCAAAGGAAACAACAGTTGCAAATATCCTGCTACAACTTTTGCTACCAAACTAACGCAAATGAAAAAACAAAAAATATATCAGCTTTGGTGGTGGTAATAATAAATACCAAAATTTCCAAGAGAATTAACTGGCATCAGAAGTGAACCTCGCCTGAAAGTCTTACAAATGTCAGAACGCAAAAATCCGACTCTTTGTTATGATGCTCAATGAAAACGTGGATTGTTCCAATCAAAAGAATTCTGGTAGCCAAATTTTCAATTCTGTTCCCCTGAATAATACTTGTGGCGTGATGTTCACTTTGGTTTTTACACGATTTAGTAATTAACAATAGTAATAGCAAAGTAGTCCCATTGAATGCTAATTAGTTATTACGTTGATTGGATGAATTCTTATTAATAATAATGTATTAGTACTAACACCGAACCCGAAGGCGCAATGTTTGATCTAGCATCATATTAGTATGCATACCCACACACGACCTGCAGAAAATTTACGTCATATTATCGTTGATCCCATCACCCAAACATCCAATTGTCACCTGCTTTTTATTTCTTCTTTTCGTGTTTCTTGCCTTCGATCAAATCAGCATTCCATCTCCACTCCCTCACATCTTTCCCATACCTCTCATTCTTCTTCACTCTCTTGTATCCCCCCTACATCGGACCGCAACGTACCTATCTACCATGGTACACATAGACATAGACCAATACATACCTACAATCAAAACCATATTGCAAGACGCTGATCCGCAAGTCATCACTCCCAAGGATGTCCGTCTAAAACTGGAAAGTATATACAAAGTGGATCTTACTCCACAGAAAAAGGAAGTGCAACAACTGATAGAGAAGCTCTTCGACGAAATGAGCTTCTCTGAGGAAGAAGAGGTAAAGGAAGAAAGCGACGACTTAACCACTCACTCACCAGCAAATACGACAGATCGAGTCTCAAATGGAAATGTGAAGAAAACCAAAAAACCATCACAAACAAAAAAGCAGACTGAGACTAAAAGCAGCAAATCTCGAAAGGTAAACCTGACAAATAAATAGATCAGTACATTCGAAAGTCTGATTAAGTGGTTACGAGTATATATGTGAGGTGTAGATTATGTGTCCAACGGAAGAAAAACGCGATCGTAAATCAATTCCCGTAACAGAAACCAACTTTGATATCCACATGTTTTCTAAAATTATTCAATATGATACATAAATTTATTTCAATAATGCGGAAGACGGACGCAGACGCAAAGAAAAAGAATGAATCGCAGAAGAAAAAGAAATCTACTAAACGGAAACGAAAAGACGAGGATGATGCGATTGCATCAGAAGGAGAAGCGAGAAAGAAGAGAATTACAGGAATTCATAAGCCATTAAGACTAAGTCCGGTGATGGCAAAGTTTTTGGGTGAGACTGAGGTGAGAATTTGTCTTTTGGGGGGAGCAGGAAACAAGCTGGGGATGTGTTTATATTGGGAGGAAGGGGAGGAGGACCGCAAAGATTAGGGAAGGAGTACATCAATGAACAAAGATGGTATAAGACACATGGTGAAGATATAAGCTTTGAATTAATGATTAGGGGACGATCGATCGATCGATCGATCGATATTTACATTTTTGATATTCAAAGACTAACTACTGCTCGTGCTCCAATTTTCCCACAATGTTTCAGCTTTCGCGATTAGAAGTTGTCAAACGCCTCTGGGCCTATATCAAAACCAACGAGCTACAGGATCCAAACGACAAACGCTACATAATTTGCGACGATAAACTCTATCCCATCTTCGAAATGGACCGTCTTCACAGTTTTACTATGAACAAATTTCTCACACCTCATTTGACGAAACTGGAAGGACATGTAGCGGGAGAGAATGGGAGCGGGATTCGAAATGCGGATGCAGAAGAGGGACTTGACGAACCTGAGCGTCCGCTTTCGAAAACTGACATTGCTGAAAATAGCGAGGTAAACGCGGAACAAGCGGGTGAAGATAAATATGGATCAGAAGAATTATTCAAAGATAGCGACGATAGTAAAGAGGATTTCTCTGCTCCAGTATATGAACAATGATCAGGAAGCAGTGCTTCACGTCCGCGGAATAATATAAAGTTAAGAGGGGAGGGGGATACACACATCAGGAGTGGAATTTGTTGAATTATGTTAATAGGTCAGGATGGGATAATTTTTGGTGTTATGACGTAATTTTGGTTTTTGGGGGGTGGTCAAGGGAAGCATTGGATAAGGTAATATCATTGAGAAAATCGGCGTGGCCTTTTTATTATGAATATGGGAAATGGGGATTAAGATAAATGCTCATGCTGCTGTTTAGAATTGATGCTAACTCGAGGATACCATTGGCGGACGATTGTTCTAGTTTCTATTTCTTCTTATCTGTTCAGAGCACATTTTTATATTCTTCTACAACACTAGACAAGTAATCCTTTCACATGCGCTTCCTTAGTTAATGCCCGTTTCTATCAAATTTATCTTTGAGTTTTTCCCTATTTAACTATACAGAACAACGTATATAAAGTGGTTTACAAT